TCAGAAAGGTAGAACATACCCAAGGTGATTGCAAAGTGCTCACGACTCGCAAAATATTCTATCTCAAATCATTTCTCGCCTAACGTGACTGCCAACTGGCTATTAGGTAGCTCGGGTCTTGATGCAACTTTGAAAAATCGCTCCAATCTCGTCGCCGCAGCGCCGATGTTTAGAAATGGAGAGCGTACCCAGTTATGACCTCGAGAACGCATTATAAAGCGCGGAGTACGTGTCAGTCGCAATGCATACCTGATACCTCTGGGCACGGATTGATAGAGCCACAAGTCCGGAAACTGTTACTATCGGAGCAGAGTAGAAACTCTGAATCCGAGTCGCCCCGATGCTAAATTTCCGAGGGCAGACTAAGCTACTTAGCTACTTACTCAGCCTCGACAAGACAACTTTGAGAACGCGCTGGACCCTAGTCTCCCGTAGGCAGACTTCGTAAACTACCGATATTCAGTTGATGATGAGTCGATCTACTTCATATGGAGTCTGCTCCTAGACGCGACCATCAAACCGTAGTAAAATTTGATGTGCATTTATTCCCACGCAAATGTCATGTGACTAGCCCAAAAAGGACGCGTACCGTCGCGTCTTTTTGATTATTGAGAATTCAATGGCGTCTGTGTCTTCATTCCGCGTTGAAATACCCCAATAACTTTAAGTGTCTGGAACCCAATGACTATGCTAGAAACTCCTCTTGTGGGTGCTGCATCCATGTTCTCTACTACCTGGCAACAAACATATGCCCCCTCAGTGCTGCAGGGCACCACTGGCGCTCACAGCCTATCCGACCTCACCACGCTCATTTCACCTCCTTCAGGAACTTTTCAATGTAATTCTGTCCCCACATCTACGAGAAGGCGATCCAATAAACGTCCGAATGATGTAAATCTGGCTGCCCCAGCCCTCAAAAGACAGCGGAACACCCTCGCCTCCTCCATGGGGAGCACACCATTATCGACAATGACGGCCTCTGAATCCAACGACGCATATTTCTATGTTGTACTGAACTCGATGTGCGAAGGAGAGACTCCCCACCGAACCAGCAAAAGTTCAACCCACTGGCTTCAAGCAGCCGAAACGAAACGACCCAACGGCAGTCTAGCGGTGAGGATTTTACGGCAGATTTGCCATCCATGGGGGCTCGAGAACTTAAAAGGTTCATTGGAGTTGGTAGGAAGCCTCGGACACGTCAGATTGGATGGATAACGCGTCCGCGATAAAAGAAAAGGGGCATTAATTAATAGACGCGTCAGGCGTGGGAAGCAACACGTGATCAGTTTGTTTTACTACCGTTTGATGGGCGCGACTACATGCAGACTAGCTGGACCCTACTCGCGGTACTGGCCGGGCCATGAGACAGCATGAGACCGTCGTGACGATGACATTACTGTAAGCTCCGCTACATTTTTTGCTGCTGTATTCCAATCGCCGACGCAAAAGTGCATCAATGCATCCGAAGTTGGTCCGAATCGCTCTCTGATGCATGCCAGTCATTCGCGTGAGCATTTCCTTATTTCTTCCCTGATATAGTCCTGTTTTCTGCACATTTCCCCACTTCCCAGGACAACTTTGGTACTTGTAAGCCAGCAGGGTGCTTCAGGACTGACAGATGTCGAGAAAATGCAAGAGAAAATGACAGCCACGACACGAAAAGCGACATTCATTATGGACCACCGGGTACGCGACATGGCGACATCTCGTCCAATAACCTCCGACGCAGATGGATTGAAGACAATTAGCGGTGGTGCCCATGCAAGCCGTCGACCTTCCAATTTTCAGCAGCCACGCTTTACTTAACGCTTCTGGGTTATTATCAAAAACTTCGATGCTTGCGCTAGTTCTTGCAGCTGCAGCAGTTAGTTCGACAGGAAATATTCGCGTCATCTGTCCGTCCCAACTGTATCTCCCACACTAGTAACTTCGCAAATGACTTTCATCGATGCTCAAGGATTTAGGTCGCTAACTCGCTCTAGAAACCAAGAAACTATGTGTTTCGGCGAGCCTTCATGCAACCTTTGGATTATAAAGACTTTCGTACAATTGACAACGAGGTTAAACGGTCAAGATCTCTTCTCAAATTTAACACAGCTATGGTTCAAATCACGTCTGCTTTTCTTATCCTCGCCTCAGGTGTGGTCTCATGCACGGCTGCCACTATATCCGACGTGCAGAAGGATTTCACCGCTCTACTATCCAATGCGACATCTTTCAACAGCGCACTTTCTTCATTCACGTCAGCCACCTGGCTCTCATCAGGAATTGTAAGCTTTGTCGACGCTTAATAAATTCCTTAGAAATTAATCTTAAATTTGTGTTATCCAGCCCGTATTCACGGATACTGTTAATTTAATCACATCTCTCGACCAGGCTACTGCTGATATCAAGGTAAGTACTTTAGAGCGATGTACTCGTTAAAGATGCGCATAACGAAGCAAATGATACGTATTTCATCTAGACCCTCAAAACACCGTTGTCGGCCGCTGATGCAAACACTCTTGTCAACGCTATCCAGCCGCTCTCGACCGGCCTTCCCAAAGCTCTGAAGGCCGTCGGCGCAAGTAAAGCCCAGATTTTAGGAATACCAGCTGCAGGCAATCTCGCTTCAGGAGCCGTCAGCGGAGTCGTGGTCGCTGTGCGTAGCTCGGTCCAGAATCTCGAGGCCGCTCTGTTAGCCGCGTTGCCGGTAGGTGTTTTTCTGTCAACTTGTTTTGGAGTCTGTATTGAACGTATCTTTGATGCATCTCCAGGCTGCTCAGAAGAGCAAGGTTACATCTATAAAAACGACTGTAGATGCAGCTTTTACCTCGGTTCTTGCCATGTATGAGAGTGGCATCTGTAGTTAGAGATTAACGTAGCTAAATGGTTTACTCGGATTCAGCTGCCAGTGACCGCGCCATGGTGAATCAAGCTTTTCCAGTAAATAACATTCTCAACTAGATTTATTGCTGCATAGTGAATTAAATGACTTTTTGGGAAGAGGGTCCAGATCCGGCCTGTCCAGAAAATCCTTGTTTAAGACGAGGTTGGTCGGTCCATCAGTCTAAGTATGAGACTTCTTCGAACGCCAGACGAAGGAGCTGGGATTTTTTTGGAAGCGTATGGGTTTGTCAACGCGAATGTCCACCAACATGGAATTGGTGAGATTTGGGCAGACTTGACGTCAATCCAACGTCAATCAGTACTTGATAACATCACATGATTGAACTAGCAAAGCGCAGTATCGGCGAATTATGGGATGGCGGGACTCAAACATAACCATCGAGGACAGGACGCAGTGTACTACCCTCCTTATTGCAGTTTATGCAAATGGGGCTTGTCAAATTTGCATTGCTCGCCATCACCAAGGTGACCATCTTGGGCCAATCTACCTCGACCAGCGCCGTCGATGCTACGATAGCAGACGTGCATAAACGACTTGACGGTATTTTGCCTCTGGTTTCATTGCTCGACAGGACGGTTACTGAGTTCCCCGCCAGTGGTGGATCGGTGAGGGCAGCTTGGGTGAGCAATTTGATCTTGACAAAAGAAGTTCAAGCGCTCATCCTATCATTTTCTTTCTAAATGATAGGCGATGCACACCCAAGGTCGGGATGTCTTAGCAGTTCTAGACAAAGCCACATATGACATTGAGGTGAGGGATCTTGCACTTCTCATGCATTACAGATGTGCATACTGACCGATAATCCAGAAGTTGCCCAAGCCAATCCCAAAGGACGACCAAATCGCTATCCTCAGGAGTATCCAAGATTTCCAGCCATTCGTTCTCCACGCCCTTGCCGAACTCATCGTGAAGAAGCCCATATTCTCTGCGCTCAGTAAGATAGGCGGTGGAGTCGTCAGTATGATGGTAGAACAGGACTTGGCCGCTTTCCAGAGAAGCATGATCGATTTTGAGTCTTCTTTCGACCTTGACTCGTTCCCGGTACGTGTTGGCTAAAAGATCATTCGTTCATTCGTGTTTTCTGAATGTCGTGCTGTTAGGCTGAGTGGGAGGAATTGAGGACACATACGGATGCCATCACGGAAGCCATAAATGAGGCTATCTCTGCAGCGCTTGCTGCCTATTCGTAAGTACTCAGATGAAATCATTGCAGGCCATTTCATTCGAGGAGAGATCTACTTAGTACGTTTAAATTAGAGTAATGGGACAATTAGAATATATGGGACACTCGAACAAACTAGATAAACATTCGGTCAAGGACTTGGACTCCGGACACTCCTGGCAACAGGTTATTTAAGTTCACCAAAAATGATTAAGAAAATAAATTAAACATGTTTGCATTTTTTCGACCGTTTTCTCAGATCATGAATCTATTGAAAATAATAGATTTTAAGCGTGACAAAATATAATATAAATCCTACCTTATTATAATGTTTTTAACCCCATGAAACCGAAATTTTATGTCTTGTTTTTGTGGAGGGAAAATCTTTTGTGAATTTCCGTATTCACATTTTCTTTTGTTGTCTCATAAATGATAAATTTAGCATGAATTTTAGTTATCTGCTAAACAAAAAGAACAATGTTTCGCACCCAAACTGAATTGAAAATATTTTTCATTTGTTTTAAATGGATCAAAACTCGGTGCAAATACTATATTTGATGACGAGAACAATAAGACAATAAATTTTGCCTTTCTGTCACAATTTTTCGATCACAAAAATTGGCACAAATATTAGATTTAATAGGCACATAAATACAACTGAAAATGAAGTACTTGGCAAAAGAATTTTCGTACCAACAATTGTTGAGTTGAAAATAGATTTTATGCGACAGAAAAGCGGCCCAAACACGCAAACATGTTTAATTTATTTTCTTAATCATTTTTGGTCAACTTAAATAACCTGTTGCCAGTAGTGGGAGGTCCAAGTTATCCGAGCGTTTGGTGAAATAGGATTATCAGTAACTTGAAGTACATACTAACTACGAAAAAAAAATTTAATCTGACTTTAATGCAACAGGGCCATGGTGTTTGTCCCATAATAAATCAAATGGCGCTGTAGTGTAGCGGTTATCACTCAAGATTCTGAGTACTTCGGACCTCATGAATTTCTTGTAACCCCGGTTCGATTCCGGGCAGTGCCTCTGCCGTATGCGAGACTTGCAGTTTGAAAGTCTCTTTTTTCATCAATAGCACCAGGATCAGAATGGATTATTAGACGCTCATCGGCACGCGCGGACAGGCTCAGTAGCAAACAGAGAGGATTTGCTTGCTCTTCCTTCCCACTCCTCATATGGATTCCTTAACAGCTTGCACGTAGATCTGAATCTACCATCTTCTATGCAATAAGTAACAATGCTAGTCGTTTATTATCGAAGCTCAGCAAGTTCGGAGATTGAGGGCGCGCTAATTTGGCACTAAATTGTCTGACACAAATCGGTTGTCAGCAGGAATCACGACTTCCACTCTGCGCAAGCGTACTTCTAATTATCACCGACACTATAAGAACTAAGCGATTTATTTTTGCGTCAGTTGCATCACCCTGCTTTGGCCAAGTGGTTCTAAGAGTCGCACTTTAACGCCGGCAAGTAACTTTGAAAGGAATCCTGTACGATATTCTACTGGATTAGGAGTTGCTTCGTGGTCATAGGTCAAAGAGAGGGCAAGGGTTGTCATACATGTCATGGCTGGGTCGTTGTCGAGAGGTTTGGCAGGTAAGTCCATGTCTACCAACGATGATGCATGATGCGCGAAGTCGAATACTACCTGCATATCAACGCTGCCGGTGTCGGCCCGTGCTGTGAGTTACTTAGCTATGGCTGTATCGTCGTATTTGTGCTCTTGCGAACACGGTTGTCAGGCGGGCTGGCTGGTGGTGAAAAGACCATGAAGTAAGTCGGCACTGTCACGGTACCATCGAAGTACAGCCCAGCTTCCTTGCGTTGTCCTTACTACGGTCAATGGGATACCGCCGTCTCACGAACTGCAAGGTATCAAGAACGCGTTGATGGGCTAGTACGGGGGATAAGAGATGCATGCTAACTGGATGTGGTGGTTGTGAGAACATGCCCATCAAGGACGGGTAACGCCAATTTCAATTCCTTTCGTGGGAGCATGAAATGTTTCTATGGATGCTGGATGTTGATAGGTCCAATTAGTTGATCCGAAAAGGCTATCCGCAGTCGAAAAAGATGGAGCGTTTTTGCGATTGGGATTCGAGGATTAGGACCTGGGAGATGTGTTGATGCGCGACATCTTTCGTACCCAGCCTGGTACCCACATACACGGCTCAATGTTCACTTGAGTATTTTTAAGAGGGTTTGAACTGTCATTTTTAGGTGTAAATTGAAACCTTGAATGATGTTGAACTCAAGTTCAGTGATTATGAAAGGTGATCGTGTGCGCCACACTCTTCTTTGGGAGGGCATTCAGTTGATGCATCGAACGCCAGTCATAGGTACGGTGTCCGTTCCCCGTTTAGTATTACATGGTGTGCATTACATGGTGCATTCTTGGGGAGCTTTTAAAAGTCCCCGACAAAGGGAGAATGGGCGATAAGCAAGAATTTTTAGCACGAACAACGATATACGTTGCAGTCGGAATTACTCTACCGGGTATTCCTGACATCCTAAACAAATACCATAATTTGATTTAAATAATACAGAGTCCGATAAAACGGGAGAAAGGAAACGAAAACCTGGACACATTTCAGCGAACTGGGGATGGAGGAGATGGTCTGCGCGGGTAGCCGACTCGGATCATCGATGCATCAGACCAAGTCGGAGTCGGTCTCTTCCTTGACGTGTTCAGAACATAATGTACATTTTAAAACGCGACAGGGAGGCACCCATTTATATTTCAAAGCCGATTAAAATATCCTAGGGTGTCGCCTTTACAATATTGTAGCCAGGTTCCGTCAAGGCCCCGGTTTCCGGTATCCCGAGTACCCCAAAAACATTTTGAACTGCGCAAGCCTCAGAAAGATAGTTTATAAACCAAGGGAGTACCGGGATTACTTACAAAGCCGTGACCCTGAGGCTGGTAGGTCCGGCCGGGGGGTCTGAAAAAAAAAAAATCAAGCAATTCTGTCCATTCTGCCCAGTGTTACGACTTGACAAGCAATAAGGTATCCAACAGGATAAATAATGCCTAAGTCGTATTTCAAGACTGAGATCGAGGTTCGAAGTCACTTAAGCGTTCGCAAACGTCTTAGAGTGTTCAAGAGGGTTCAAGATGTACTAGGTACTCGAGATGTGATTCTCAAGATCTAGCTAAAGAATACATCGTATGCTACTCTAGTATTTATACTAAGTAGCGAGTCCGGAGTAATAGATAGAACACGTCTCAGACGTGTTATGATACTTGTAAGATATCCATCGCGAAGCTGATGGATGTAAAACAGATAAAAGTGAAACATATAACAGAAACAGGATATGGGGGAGAGCTATGCGGCAAATGATGGGATCGGAAGTGGATAGAAGGTGTATAGCTAGCGTAAGTAAGGAGAAAAAGTACGTGCGTACGAGCGTGCGTGCGCGAACCAGGTGTGATCGTAACATTACCCCCTCTCTAGATCGAAGACGTCCTCGTCTTCCAGCTAATCACGTCTGCTTTCCAAGTAGGGACTCCTGTTGTAAGGATCATCGTCAGGGTTCCTGTCTTCATAGTACCGAAATGGGCAGCTGAGTGTCGTGTGCCCTGGATGGTATCGTCGACACAATCCGCATTGGTAAGAGGACAGTCGACTGCTACATGACCTTCTCCACCGCATTCAGTGCAACGAGTGCCAGGTGGCGTTCGGGGTCGTCTTGCGTACGCTGCATCATAAGGGGGTGGTCGAAAGAGCTGTCTGTTCTTATGATTGAGGGTTCGTTTGGGATGATGATGGCTGGGTCCGGCGGTAGATGGTACTGGTGGAGGATAGGTCGGTCGTGGGGGAAGTTCGCGAGACAGGTTGACCGTTCTGGCTCGAGGAGTGGGTTGTCGTGGGGGAGTAGGGAATCGATCAACGAGTATGGGGGAGTCTTCATCTCCTGTTCCAGTCAAAGAGGGTTGTTGGCGAAGGAGGAGTTCATAGGCGTTCCTGAAGGTGATATTGTTGTTCAGTCTGTCGATCAGACTGGATGTTCGTTCATTCAAGCGATTAGTACGAAGGGCGATGGTGTCGATGGTGTTGCTCATAAGTTGTCGGATGGCTCGAGTTTCGATAGAAATAGCACGGATGTCGTTGAGGCAAGCAAAGGTAGTGTTTGCCTCAGGGTCAAGTTGGATCAAGGTCTGAAGCAACCCAACATGAGTTCCGTTTTCGAAGATTTGGTCTAAGGAGTTTTGGGTGATGGATCTGGTGATGGTTCGTTCACGTTCCGGAAGACTATTCGGGTCGGCCTCACTGGCCTCTCTCTCGATAACGATTGAGCTAGGTCCTCTCGATGAGGGAGGCGAGTTCATCGGTGACTGCGTGTAGGGAGGAGAGGGAGCGGAGTCTTTTAATGCTCGAGGGGAGGACAGGGAGTTCTGAGACATCGTTAGGGTGGAAGAGGATTGGAAGGGAGTTCTTTCGGGAGGGTTCAAGTTTCGAGGTGAGGGTGGCTCTAAGTTCTAGTGGATGGTCGAGAGGTCGCCCAAGTTTAAATAGTCTCTTGTCCCTCCACCCTTTTTCTGGATCGTTGAAGGAGGAGTACAGGAGGGATTCAAGCTGTGCAAGGCGATACTCGAGTCTGAGTCTGATCATTTCCAGGTTGAGCATCTCGCGTTCCCATTCTTCTTGTTCGTTGTCATCAGTGTTTCGCACCGGTTTCCAGTCCAGGAAGATTCCAGAGAAGTAGGGTAAGGGTGGTGAATATTTTGGGACAGGGGGTAAGGCGATGTCGTTGGTCATGATTCGATGGGCTAAGGCAGTGAGGCTTGACATGATCCGGCTGTGTTCGGGATGATCGTCAAATGTCAGAGGTCGTGGCGCTGTTTGTAGGTGTCCAAAATTTCCTGTGCGTTGGCAAATGACTCCTCTGGTTCCCACGTGGTCTCGGTGATCGAATATCCTTCCCAACTGGTCAAGTACATCACCTGTTTGTTTCGAAGCTTTTTGTGGTTAAGAATAGCTTTGACCTCGTATTCTTCTTCTCCATCAATGATATCAGGAGGTGGCTGTGTGAAGTTCTTCCCGTAGATGTTGTTTTCCGTGTATGGCATGAGGAGAGTGGCATGGAATACATCGTGGATCTTCCAGTTCTTGGGGAGTTGAAGGCGATACGTTGATGGTCCGAGAACATCTAGGATTTCGAATGGTCCTTCGCGTTTTGGCTTCATCTTTTTGTTATACCGGGTTTTCAGATTTCTGGAATCAAGCCACACTTTTTGTCCTTTTTTGAATGGGACAAAGTTTGATCGGCGACGTTCGGCCATTCTTGCTCTTGCCAGCTCATGTGCGGCAAGGGCTTCCTTTCGGTCTTCGATTAGGCGTTTCATTCTTTCTTCAACGTTTGGAAATTTTGTGTTTTCGTATGACGTGGGGATTGCCAATGGTGAATATCCCAAGGTTAGTTCGAATGGGGTTCTTGTCCTATCTGCGTGTCTCCGATCGTTGTAGGTGAATTCCATGGTGCTTAACTTGTAGAGCCAAGTGTCTGGGTTTGATGAGCAAAAGATTGAAATATAGGCTTCAATTTCTTGATTGACTCGTTCAGTGGCTCCATCCCCTTGTGGGTGGTAAGCGGTCGTCAATTTTGATTTGATTCCAAGGAGTCGGAGGAGTTCTCTAAATGCTCTTGCAGCGAATTGGGGGCCTCGGTCAGACAGGATACTGTCAGATAGACCAAACCTCTTGTAAAGGTTGTCAAGTAAAAGTTGGCCTGTCTCTTCTTCCGTTGTCGAAGTAGAACAGGGGATGGTGATCACCCCCCCGGTAGATCCATGGTCGACCACGACCAATATGGCGTCTTTCCCTTCAATAGGTGGTAATCCGGTAATGAAGTCCATTGTCGGGTCTGCCCATGGTCTTTTCGATTCTGAGCCTTCGATTGGCATTAAGCTTGGCTTGGAAGGTGACCTGTTTATTTTAAATTGTTGGCATGCGCCACATCCTTTTACGTAGTTGTTGACAAAGGTTCGCATTCCGGGCCACCAATAATGTTCCTTGAGCGCGTTA